TATTAAATACCACACTTAGCGAGCATCAATGGAAGTTAAGGATCTGTGATCTGCCCTTTGAGATTCGGTTGAAATAACAAACTACCAGAAAACCAGTTATTGATTTCGATTTCAGCCGGGGACGCAAACCAAAAGTACTCTCTCACGACAAAGACAATTATCAAAGGACATATACAGGAATACCGATGGCAACCGTTACTGAATTCGTGGACCTTGCTCCTTTTAAGTTCGGTGATCTGCCATCTCAAAAGGTATGTTCCAAAGGGAAACCTTTGCTGCTCCATTCGAGTAAACTGTTCCTGGATTTTCCTGTATCATTAAATCTGCATTGTAAAATGTAAAATGGCTAAGACTCTGTTTTGCTCACTATGCCTGCTCGTCTCGTTTATAGGACAAAGTCATCATCGTTTCCGGAGCAAACTCTGGTATGCCCGGAAACCGCCAAGCAGGTGGATGACATTTATCTCTTAACCGACAATAACATATTATTCTAGGTATCGGAGTACATACTGCCCGTCACTTGGCCAAAGCTGGAGCGTACTTGATTCTTGCATGTCGAAATGTAGAACAAGGGACTGAAGTTGCTGAAAAGATTCAAAAGGAATCTGGAAATCCAAACGTCTTTTGCTACAAGTTGGATTTGTCTACCTTTGACTCGGTTCGAGAATTCGTAAAGGTGTGTTAACAAACCATGCTTTCTGATGTTTGTTGGTCGACACACTGAGAGAGACGCTGAACTTCCAACGTTGAACTCTCTTCAAATCTCTCGATCTGTTTTGATGGCTTGTTGATACTCGTATACAAAACACTTTTGCCTAAATGGATTTCCTGTCTTTGTAGAAAATCGATTCTGAGAAACTAGCAGTCGATGTGATGGTTAGTCTGAACATACTTACTCTGGAGCCGGGTGGAGCTCATCCGGAATTTCCTTCTTAGATACACAATGCAGCAGTTTCTGGCTTGCCAACACGTACCATGTCAGGTATGCTTCAACATCCGGCTTTTTTTAATAACACTGAATTACCTTTCGGGTAACAAAATTTCACAATTGTGTATACCTAGAACACAACCATGAAATGACCTTCCAAGTCAACCATCTCTCTCCATTCCTCTTGACGCACCTCTTGATTCCATCCTTGAAGGAAGCAGTAAAGAAACACGGAGAAGCGCGTATAGTCTATGTAACTGGCGGACTCCTAAATGCCAAAATCGACTTTGATAATCTCGAATCTGAGAAGGAGTATGCTCATACGGGAAAGTATTTTGATACCAAGCTGATGAATATCAATACAACTGTCGAATTGGGGGCGAGATTGAAGGCTAATGAGAGCTGTGAGGGGATTGTGTGTCATGTTTTGAGTCCAGGTAAACATTGATTTGATTGGAGGGTGTTTGCCGATAAATCCGCTGACCAACGCTTGTCTGTTTTAGGCTTCTACCGTACTGGACTCGGAAGAACAACTCCGGCAGAAGACAAAGTTGGTCTAGAGAAGATGCGAGATCAATATGGACAGTATGTTGAATCCTTCAAAGTTTCAAAATTTCTATCTGTCAACATACATAACACTCAACAGGGACATTCGCATGTCTGGACACTGTGAAACTTATGTTGGAGGTCATCCAGACTGCGGAAAGACCAAGCCATGGCCAAGATGGTTTTTCTGGGATCAAAGTGAGAAGACTCCTCTGCCGGAGCAAGCCGAGGATGTCGACATTCGAAACAAGTTGTGGGCTGTTAGTGAAGAGATGGTTGGGTTGGAAGCCAGCTTGAAGTTGTGAAAGTGGAGCGCAGATATTGATGGAGGAGCACGATTGATTGTGAGTTTTATAGATGATGCAAGGAAAGCACTGGTGTGATTACATTTCGTCAAAGAGATTTTGAATAAACAACGTAACAAACTTTCAAGACAGTGCACGCGCCAATTCGATGCTTATTTGAGAGAAGTCGTCCTGATGCGAAGAATTGCCATAGGAAGTTAGTCCAAGTTCATGTGGCTTGAGCGTGCAAAGTCGTTGTCGACGAATCAAGTCATTTTACGTGATTTTGAGGAGAAGATGAGGGATTAGAGTGCGCATTTGAGAATGTTCACGTATATGACGATAATTACGATCATCTGCTAATTGCCTCGCGAATCAAGAGCCCATTAGTGGCAGACAGGCAGACAGGAATCTCAAAACATCGAAGTCAGAGGTGAAGATCCCAGTAGAGCCCACTGTTATATCGAGCCTATATGAGCTGGAGCTTTATCATAATTACGATGTTTACAAATTTCATTTGGAACTGGGTACCACCATGTCAATTTCCAAACATTGCTTCTTCACATTTTGCAATCTTCATCTTCATTAGGAGATTACATTCATTTAAGGTCAAATTACTCCTACTAGGACCATTTTGTATACAGGCAAGCAAGGAATGCGTTGTTGGTACTTGGTTTAAACTTTCCATCAAATGCCCTGGTTGTGCTGACTGCTTTCACTTGAATCTTCATAGTCCACATGTCGAAAATAATCGAATTATATCAAGTACCATACAAGGACGATGCCATAATAGTACCAGACGAGCTGCTTCTCGTCATATTCGAACACATCAAATGTCTTGACACAAACATCGCAAACCGATGCCTGTCGACTAGGGCACTAGTCTGTAAAGCATTCAATCGAATCGCTCGTTGTCGGCTGTATGATATGACCTTGGATATGAGAGTTGAGCCATTGTCAACGTCGTTTGAGATGAGCTTGGTGTATATGAGAACACGTCCGAACGCTGCTTGTCATCAAACGTCGGTTGAGCACATCCAGGAGATTATTGAATACAGAAAAGTTGCACTTGGTTGACTTTCAAACTCTGGACTACTCGTTGAAGAAGTTATTGATAAGTGTGACCTCACTTATCCCGATGGAACAGTAGAGTCTACCATCAACTCTGTCATCCCTTATCTTGGAATTTGCAGATACCAACGATCCTGAATTTCTTGAGTTGGGAGCTTTTGTCGGAACAAGTCCCTAATCTCAAGACCCTCTACATGGACAAATCCTGGACCGAATTACCGACAGGAATCCCAGTAATGCTGTCCCGAATCACGTTGGAAAATTTCTTCATTTACAAGGGAGACGATGCACTTGATGAACAAGTAGATATGCCTCCGACACTGGCGCGTCTATCCACAGGCAGTCGGGTACATTGATACAGTTGGTCTTACAAGGATGTCTTTTGAACGGCACTCCGGATACTCGGAGCTCATTTGAATCTTTACTGCAGTTTTATTTCATAGGTCGTATGAACCAACTACAGCTGGATGTGCTACGACCTGGAATCACAGTATTTAGTAGCGCAATCATGTCAGAACCCCCGATAAATGTGACCAATTTTGTAACCGCAAACGTATCAACATTCGAAGAGCTATATCTTACTTGCCAAAAGGGTTTATCTCGTCCTGTCTTCCAAGAGTGTATTTACCTCGTAATTTTGGTGGCATCATCCGATAATGCTCAACGAGGTGGGCTCGACAGTCTCTGGAAAATCAACGGCCACATGCTCCAGCATCTACATATAAATTACGAAAACGACAACATGGAATTGCCACCGTACAAACCGTATCGTATTCCCGAGTACACTAGAAATTTAGCTGTGCTTGGGATCGGGGGCCAAGGTCGCAATGCTCCAGCATTCAGCGAATTCCTCCATGACATTATTGCTAGGATGGTAAAATTGAAAGAATTGCAGTACTGGAACTCCGAGGGGTTAGATGGCGATATGTTTGAGAAGGCTGTGGGGCTATTGACGTACCAGACTTTTCAAAGTCCTCCACATTCCAAGTATTGTAGTGAAATTCAGTCATCATATGGGTGAAGAGGAGTTAAAGCTATTGATGGATCGTGTCATCACTTACGATAGCTTGAAGATAGTCGTCAAGTCATATTCGACAATTGAAGTAGTCCTTTATGATAGATGGAACATAGGAGTCGTATTCGCAAATTGAAAGAGACCATTGTAAAAGATATATCTTGGCATATATTTGACGTCTTGTATATCAGAAACATCACTTCTGTGGAATACAACATTTGTTGTCGTCTGGTTCGATGCGACAATTGTTGAATTGTGAGGTTTGTTAAATTTGTATTAGAACGGGTATTTGTGTGTGGTCGAAGTGAAAAACGGATAAGTTGTGGGCTCTCACTGAGATGTGGAGATGTTTGGGTTCAAGCAACTGGCACCAGACTTGGATCCGTTTTTAGTGCAGTGCTGAACGAGACACTCAACGACTGGTATGCACGAGGCACGGATCATGAGAGGCCAAAGAAACAGCATTCGATAAAGTGCTGACATTCTCCTGCTGAAGAGAGTTATTAAGACAGCTCATACGCCAATTGGATGGTCACTGGGAGGTAGTCTTCTTGAATATTAATAAAGGCGACTGAGAGCATTTGATGAAGAAATAGTTGGGAGTTGGGGGAGTATCAGTTGATTGCGGCCACATTAACATTAAGCAACGAATAAACAAAGCAGAAGCAGTAAATACTATAGGCAACGGTCAGGATAGTTAACATCACTTGTGAAAGTAGTTCTTGATGACATTTCTTCCAAGTTTCGTGTTTTCTAACGTGAAGAAACGGTCGCGGGGACCTTTGTCAATTTATGATTTTCGACGCGAGAGATGATTCTACGTGATTGTGAGGATGATGGAGAGAGTGAAGGGTGTAATTGACTTTATTCTTGTGTGTTATATTATTTGATACTTTCCTGCCATTGCCTCCTGAATCAATGCTTCAGTGTTGGCACCAGAGACGCACATTCAAACGATGAGGTTAAAGACTGGCGTCCCTGGATGCAGGACGGATGCACATTAACAACAAATGCTCACATTGCTACCACACGTCATGGAGCTGCTTGACTGAAGACAATCTTTAAAACACTCCCGAATCACAACCCACATCCGACATTGACAAACGAAACTTTGATTTGCTTTTGCTGAACGGAGACACAGGATTCATCAAGCTGCATGGATACTCCACGTACTTATACGCTCGGTCTAATCCCGTCCTTAACGAGGAATGCATCCATTTCACCGGCAGCCAAAAAACAAAAACTACCTGATTTGCAACCAATAGCCATAAAGCCCGACCAGCAATTACGACATCGTAGTCCTATTGATCCAGAATATGAGGATTCGAAAGCTATTTACGATGCAGTGGCTGCATATGGACAACCGTATGTCACAACTTTGAACAAATTGGACAATTCTCTTACGATGGATATCAAGTCGCCTTCTCCGGTGCATACTCCAGACGAGTCTCCTACTGCTAATGAACGAATGAATGCAATTCCGAAATTAGAGTCTCCTATTACTACCATGTCGAATACGTGGGATCGTATGGTTGCTTATGTTACTGCTCAACATGAGAATGGAGACGCTGCTGATGGTTCAGCTGTTAATGACACTACATTGACAAGGAAGAATACCGTGCTCTCGCTCTTGCGACGAAAGGTGAGATGCTTCAGGAAGACCTTTACCCTGTTTTTGCATGAACTTGCTATTGAACAGTGTATCTTTTGCCATCTAGTCAAGCAGGAGGACAGCTGATTCTGACAAGAAGCGTGGTGTTGAACTATCATGGCGTAATTTGAACTATGCCATTCCCGTCAAGGGCAAAGACTTCAAGCACATTTTGAAGGATTTGAACGGTGCCGTCATGCCTGGTGAAATGCTGGCTATCATGGGTGGATCTGGAGCTGGAAGTGAGTGTATCAATGGTTTACTTCATTCTATAGTAGATTTCAACCCTTTTGTTGTTGTTGCAGAATCGACATTAATGGACGTTCTAAGTGGTCGAGCTCGAGGTGGACAAGCAACAGGCGATATCCGATTTAACAATTTCGCATCAGATGCTATATGGAGGAAATCGATTGGTTATGTCCAGCAAGAGGACCTGTTTTGGGAGACCTTGACTGTTCGCGAGACACTGGTACACATGAAATGGTTTTTTTGCCGAATGGAGAAAAACTTACAATCCTATCTTTAGACATATGGAGCGGAGATGAAGCTCCCAGAATATGTAACAAAGCAAGAACGGCTGGACCGTGTTGACAAGGTCGCCATGCAAATGCGATTATCCCATATTTTGGATTCTCGTGTTGGAGATACGATGGTTCGTGGAATATCCGGTGGTGAAAGGAAGCGTCTTAATATTGCTATGGAGTTGCTTTCTGAACCTGATGTTATGATGCTTGATGAGCCAACGGTGAGTTTCAGCAACAAAATGGATCACTCATTCTCGAATATCCGACTGATGGTCTTGTATGTTGCTTTCATTAGTCTGGTCTAGATGCATACAACGCTCAAATAGTAGTCGATTTGTTGAGGCAGGCAGCCAAGGATGGCAACCGAACCATCTTGATGTCAATCCATCAACCACGTCGAGAGATTTTGGACTTGTTTGATAAAGTGTTAATTTTGGCTCGTGGTGAAATCCTATTTTTTGGAAGTGTTCCGGGTATGCGCGCTTTACTGTATTGCAAGTTGCAAATAATCTCTGAATACCGATGGTTTCTTTTGCAGAGAGCATTCAGCACTTTATCAAAATGGGACATCCAATTCCAGCATTGACGAATCCAGCTGATCATTTCTTGGTAAGTGAATGATCTCATACCGGGCTTTAAGTATCAAAAGTAATCCATTACTTGTATCCTAATAGGACATTGCCACCTTCGACACCTCTTCACCCAAAACACTAGATACCTCATCAAAACGAATCGGAGCACTGGTTGAAACATGGAAGGCAAATTACGAGCCAATGGCATTCCCACCATACAAGCATGCCGTCGAATATCGCTCAAAAGACTCTGCAGAATATGACAAACCCGGTACAATATTTTGGATACGACGAGTCTTGTCTCTCATGTTCCGACAATGGAAGATGTATCGTCGTGATAGGGCGCTGATAACGATGGGTGTTGTGTCGAGTTCCATCTTCCTCGTGTACGGAAATGAATATAATACCGCCGAGCATTTTCTCGCTTTCGTTAACTCGTTTTCTTCTCTTTTACGCAGTCTTTATGGAGTCTTATGGTCACTATTATCAGTTTCAGAAGACGGAGCCAACTCCCGTCTCAGCTTCTTTTTCATGTTTGCATTGAATCGATTCTTTACTTCGATATTCGGTATTGTCTTGAAACTTCCTTTACGATTGAGTCTGTATATGCGTGAACGTGCTGGTGGGATGTATGATGGAAGTATGGCTTTCTGGGCCTTGGTGAGTGGCTCGTGGAAAGTGGGCAAAGTTGACTTATAAGATGAACGAAACTGAAACTTTTTTGGCCATCTAGTATTTTGCCACATTCATGCAATACCTGTGGCTAGCCTTCCCACTTATGACAGCCATATACTTTATCGTCGGACTCCAACTCGACATTGTCAAGTTTGCCATCTTCTTCAGTGCTGGCACTCTCATGTACCTTAGTGGACATACCTATGGGTGCTTGTTTGGATCTATGACGAGATCTGTCAGTGCTAGTTTGACATACAGTTTGTTATTACTGGGTGTGTTTGCTGCCTTTTCAGGATATATTGTGGTTCCGTCTGCCATTCCTCAGCCCCTAGTGTTCATTGCTTGGTTGAATCCGTTGTTTTTGGGATACCATATTTGGTATGTTATTGCCATAACACACCCACAATACTTTTTTTTCCCTCTGAACTCACGGGTTTTTCCTTACTCAGGGCACAAAACGAACTAGCCAGCCTCACTTGGACGTGTCTACCAACCGACATCGTTTGCAATGCATCTGGAGATGTCATCCTCAACTCACTTTCGCTATACTCTGTGTCAACTATCGCCGCCTTCTGCATGTTGGTAGTTGTTATTGCTCTATTTGCGACCATTGCTTACGTCTTGTTTGAACGATCTACTCGCCCTGCCTACCTGAATGGAATCACTGTTGAAGTGGCTACGATCAAGAAGGAATAATCAAGTCGGGGTTGAATGTAGCTGCCATGTATTTCGCGACCGAGAAGAAAATAGAACCTTAATGTTTACATGGTATTTTGCTGCACTCCTATGGAATGTTTGAAGGACAAATTAAATGAGCTAAACGGCCCCAGTAGCGCCAAAACCCCTGCAGACGGGGACAGCCTACTAGCATGTGGTCTAATTTTTCACGAGCTGCACGATTGCACCGAAGACACATGTCATCCACACCATCAATGTAGTGAGAAGTAACGTCCCGCAGGGTAAGGCGATTGTTGACTACACGCCATGCAAGTTCTTGTTGTTTTGGAGAACGTGAGCCATCACCAACGCGTTTCCAAACTGACGACCAACGAGATGCATCCCATGTACCAATGTCCCCGTGGACACTGGCAACATGCCTTCTGAAACTCTCACTCCATTGAGGCGCGATGACTTCACTACCGTCTTCAGTACGACCGTCCAGCCAGAGACGTCCCTCCTTAACTGTGTATTCAAGCATGGGCTTCCTTAACTATGTATTCAAGCATGGGCTTACTTCCTATAACAACATAGTTCACGGGGAAAACAATTTTATAGTCGACGGGCGGTGGTAGTTGGAGAGTGGGGAGTCGAGTCCGTAAGCTACGATTGAGAGAGCTGTTAAGGCCAAGGTGCCGGATAATTGCGGGTGCACGAGAGTCATATAGTGGGATTATAGGGGTTTCGCGACTTTGAAGTGAACATCCAAGTAAATCCCGAGGCCATATATGATGTTGGGTGTAAGTACTCTCTGTACTTACTACTACTTCGACTACTACTACTACTACTACTACTACTACTACTACTACTACTACTACTACTACCACTACTACTACTACTACTACTACTACTACTACTACTACTACTACTACTACTACTACTACTACTACTACTACTACTTTTTAACTCTGTTATGTAAACCGCGTCGGTTCGAATCCTGGATTTTTAGATTTTTTTATTCGTGATGCAAAAAATGTATTTTAAAGCGATCTATAGCAATAATCTACACCAAAAAGCAGAACCTCTACATTCATAGACCCCAAATAGGATCCCCCAAACGAAGACGACCGACAAGTTGTCGCGCAATACCCCAAACCCAGACTTTGGAAATTCCATAAGGAGGAGGCAATGGCTGTACGGTGGTAGCAAATAATATAGCACACGTGAATCAAGTCCCTGATACCCTTGAACGTCACTCCGCTGTGGACCCCGCATCACTTCAAATCCATCTCTCCCATCGGAAATCACTCGCACGACAAAGTACTCGACGTTTCACGCTTCCGTCGCATCAGAAAACGCAAAACTTGGCAGAAACGTCATCCAGATGACCCATTACAAGGTTCATGCCCACTATCGTGATTACTATCTTATCGTATCTACTTTATCTGCTGTAGTGGAGTCTTCGATTTTCAAGGTTGCCGCAATCCATCGATACTCAGACAACTCCGAGCTATTTCTCCAGCAGATGTTCTTCATCTTCAATGTTACTGTTCAAGAATACATCTCCGAAGTGACCATCCAATTGACCTGCCTTGATATCTCTCGTCGAGTAAGCAATATCACAAATCGAGTCACGCTGCTCTTTTCCTGTACAACGTGGACTGTAGCACATTCTTGCGACTAATTTTCAGACTTATATGGAAGATAAACGGTATTTCCTTATCCGAAATTGACTCCCTTCACATGATGCAATGCAACCAGGGTGGTGTTTTCCGGGCGTAATTTATACAACTTTCGAATCAACATACCCATTCCACTTTCACAATTTCAAGCTGGTTTCCAACCCTACCATCTCCTCACTCACACCCCACAGCTTGGCTCGAATGTCGACGTCCACTGCTTGCTCTGGCAGAGGAGTCTTTTCAGTTTGATCCCACCAAAACCATCTTGGCCATGGTTTGGTCTTTCCACAGTCTGGATGACCTCCAACGTATGTTTCACAGTGTCCGGATATGCGAATGTCCCTGGTGAGCAAAAGGTCATAGTGTTAGGAAGTGGAGCCTGACGATATTCAGCGACAGGGAACACCCAACATACTGTCCGGATTCATCTCGCATCTTTTCCAGACCAGCTTTGAGTGGTGGTGGAGCTATTCTTCCAAGTCCAGTACGGAAGAAGCCTACGTCAGCCGCTGGTTGGTCAGCGTTTTCGTTACAAAACACAGTCCAACCGAATCGTTTACCTGGACTCAAAACATGACATATGATACCCTCACAGCTCTTATTAGCCTTCAATTTTGCACCCAATTCAACAGTCGTATTGATATTCATCAGCTTTGTATCAGGATACTTGCCCATAAGAGCATACTCCCTTTCAGATTCAAGATTATCAAAGTCGATTCTGGCATTTTGAAGCGAGCCAGTTACGTAGACTATACGTGCTTCTCCGTGTTTCTTGACGGCTTCTTTCATTGAAGGAATCAAAAGATGCGTCAAGAGAAATGGGGAGAGATGGTTGATTTGGAATGTCATTTCATGGTTGTGTACTAGATGAAGAAACGAATATAAATTTGGCAACTTGAAAAGCACTCCTAAGATGTTGAAGAAAGCCGGATGTTGAAGGATACCTGACATTGATCTTGTTGGCAAGCCAGCAACTCCTGCATTGTGTATCTAAGGAGCAAGTTCCAATGAGTTCCAGCTGGTAACTGAGCAAGCATGTTCAAACTAACCATGACGTCGACGGCTAGTTTCTCAGAATCGATTTTCTACAACGACAGAAAATCCAGTTAGGCAGAAGAGGTTTGCGTATGAGTACCAACGAGACATCGAATAAACCGAAGAGATCAAAGGAAGCTCAGCGTTGGCAGTTCAGCGTCCCTCGCGTTGTGTCGACCAACAAACATCCACAAACATATTTGTTTTCACACCTTTACGAATTCTCGAACGGAGTCAAAAGTAGCCAAATCCAACTTGTAGCAAAAGACATTTGGATTTCCAGATTCCTGTTGAATCTTTTCAGCAATTTCAGTCCCTTGTTCTACGTTCCGACATGCGAGAATCAAGTAGGCTCCAGCCTTCGCCAAGTGACGGGCAGTATGTAATCCGATACCTAAAGTAATCAGCGAACATAGTCGGTTAAGGTCTAATTGTCATCGATCTCCTTGCCAGTTTCAGGGCATACCCGAGTTTGCACCAGAAACGATGATGACTTTGTCCTATAAACGAGACGAGCAGAGTTAGACAAACAGAGTGGTAGAAACGTTTCCATTGCAGATTTATTCATACAGGACAAATCCAGAAACAGTTGGCTCGAAACGAGCTGCAAGTGTCTCGCTTCGGCATATAAGTACCTTTTGGGATGGCAATTCACCAAACGTGAAAGGAGCAAGATCTACGAATTCAGTAACAGCTGCCATCTTTATGTCTCTGTCCTTTGAATTGTTTTCTTTTTGTGAGAGAGCACTTTTGGTTTGCGTCCCTGACTTGGAACCTACGTGGCAGGCTGAGACTATCCAAGTTTTTCGTAACATCCGCCAAACATCACAGATCAATCACTTCTCACGGACTTTGAAAGAATTGTGCAGTAAAGAATCAAAATTCCATCTCCCAATATGTTGGTTCCTATATGTATTCGCGAAAACCCAAATGGAGCTCCTCACAAGTTTATATATTTGCAATAATCTAATTGTTATCTGCTAGTTTCTCTAAGCTATCTATTTATATATGCGACGATCTACTTCTTGGTTGCCAGTTCAGCTAAGCTGTATTCAGAGACTCATATCCGATGACCCCCCCCCCCCCCCCCCACCCCCCCACCCCTCAACCCCCCCCCCCCCCCCCCCCCCCCCCCCCCCCCCCCCCCCCCCCCCCCCCCCCCCCCCCCCCCCCCCCCCCCCCCCCCCCTAATATTGATTTGAGCACTTCTTCACCCATTGGGTTGGCGAATTTGACAGAAAGACAATCAATTGGAAGTATTTTAGCATTCGGAGTATTACGTCTTGTTTCTACAGCTTTTTAGAAACAGATCACCGGATAGCTCGTACTCTGTACAGTAGTATAGCCTCTCCAATTTGCACATTTGAGCAACCAACATCGTAGTAGAATTGGAGCCTTGCCACGATGGCCGTTTATGTAAAGAGTCTTGAGATTCGTGCCAAACATATCCATCTATTTTTAATTAGTCAACTATGGGACGGATCCCCGACAGACTCGATATAGCAAAGCTGGGCATGTCCTCGAAGAGCCGTCTTTGTCCTGGCTCAGCTTCTACCAAGAAGGCTGATAATCGCATTCGGTCTAGCATGGGAAGCATTGTCCTTAATATTTCTTGCGACCGCCATTTGATGTTTGGCTCATTGAGATTGTACACTTGTTCCGCGACGAGTTCCCACCTCTCTCGTTCTCAAACCTTACGAAAATCACGAGACGCCGAAGCAAAGGATAAGCTGGGTGTTGAGAGAGTCGAAGGTAGCGTCCAATCGTTGATGGGGATATGGCCTACGACGTCAATATCTAATCTCTTCAACGGAGAGCAGCCAAGATCCAGAAGTCAACCCCATATTAGTTCGCTGATATTGAGTTTCAAGTGCTTGATCTGACGAACACCATCCTCCTTATATAACCCTGGTTGACGATTCCAGTTGCTGGTCAAGTACCTTTTGAATGAAGTGAGAGTGGCGGCTGAGTTAAGTCGAATGGGCCACTATATAGACCAGGACAGGTCATCCTATTGAATGCTTGCAGACTAGGGCCATGTTCATGAAGTATCGTTTTGAAGAAGCCAAGCTTGTGTAGAGTTTGATGTTTTCGATTATAGCGAGTAGAAGCTCGTCAGGCAGCGCGATGGAACTCTCCTTGAATATGACTTCATATAAATCCATGATTTTGATACCATTGATAGAGTAGATGTGGTGAATGCTTGTCAACTAGCCTTGGCTATTGGAGTAGGTGCGGCGAGTTAGATGATAGCGAAGACTGCAGACGTTCAATGAACTCAGACCTCCTCTTCAAAATTGAACAGAAATCAGCGCGTAATCCGATTTTTTAGTTATTATCTCCTCTTGCTCTCATTGAGCTCTTTGGTCCCTGTTAACGTGACAAAGGTCAAATCAGTTTCGTTTTGAGAGGATGCAGCAGGTGAGAGTTCAAAACACAAAACGGGGCATAAAAATATTTGATATCTAGTCAGTTTCTAACGATTCATCGTATAGAACAACTTCCAGGCCGTAGGAATGGCTGGAACGACGACACATTTTCAGCAAGTTCAACCAAATGTGCTGAAACGGAAACCATTCTCAATGAATCCACCAGATAAGGTCCTTTCAAGAACTAGAGATCTGGGTACATATCGGAATTCAAGCTCAGAACTGTTGGTTGCGGAAAATGTGTGTTGAACTGACATGTCATCATCCTTGGATTTTTGCAGGTTTCGCAGGTGTCTATCCGCAACGCGGAGCTCAAGATGAAGATGAATTATCGGAATCAAATGTCAAGCACGGTTTCCAGGATCGACCTCATCCCATCTTACAGGTTGGAAGCCACGAACTTTTTGGCCGATATAAACAACCTTTTCACTCTTTATCATCAGGATGAGCGCTTCTCGGCATTCGAACTATATTATCACGATAGTAACCACGGTAAATTGCTGAACGCCCTGAGTGGGTTTGTGACCGAAGTGCTCAAAGGTCAAGTTGGCGAGAGCAAAGTTCCAAAGTAAGCTAAGAGGAGGAACACTCATGCTCTCTGCGGATCGCATGGTCTGACTCTTGTTATGCTGTTTCCTCTAGTGAATCACGGTATAAGCTACCTGATCGAGTCGCCACCGATGCAAAACAATGGATTGTCAAACTGGCGTCTGAGACCGAACCATTGTCTGAATTAGCCAAATCTGTACCTCTAGGGCAAGTCTTTCACGGAAACCTGATTTCAGTTTATGTGCTGATCGACTCTGCGTATTATAGAATCAAAGGTGGAGCGCTGTTAGACCATCTGGTACAGCATCAAGTGCCGATAGCCAGAGCTACCTGGTTTGTCAGATTCGTAGGAGCCTCCGAAATTGTTAGTCATGAACATGCTTGAATCGGGCCCTTCATGCCTTTTGACATCTTTTGCTTGACTAGCGGCAACATCGCCAACCAAAACAAGCTGAAGATCCCAATCAGCATTCAGCTTTCGAAACAGAATGGACGACCGCCCTAACAGTGTTTATGAAGCGATTGTTTGAATCCATCAATGCTCCGCAGCCAACCATTATCGGCCCAACGATTTCCAAGGATACTAAGCGATGGAGTTCAAGTGATGAACGGAAACGCTTCATGATAAAGTGGAATTATGTATTAGGACTTATACGATATCAGTATGCCGAAGGACTCATTGATCAGCGCGGGTTTCTGAGATGGTCGCTGGACTCATTTAAATTGGCCAATTTCGATCAGGTATTTGGTGCAAAGCATACAGCTTGTCCCGTCTCGCTGGATCTGATTTCTTCCTCAAATTAGACCTTCTTTGTACTTCAAATTGTTACGTCCTTTATTACAGAAATCGTACGGTCAAGAGCTCTGACACGATATCTGATGGAGTCATGTATTTCTAAATTGCAGCGGGTAACAATTTCGGACAGAAGTGCCAACAAACGAGAGACTCTTAGTAATTTACTCCTTTCAATAGTATGCCGCGCATCTAGATGCTTCAGAGCTGATTAGGCAACAACAATATCAGCTCTCCCAACTACTTCAGGTATAATCTCCTACGTAACCTTGAGAACTTTTTGAATCTCACATCCTTGTTGATAAAATAGTACATCTTCATGGTAGCACCTGACTTGGCAGTTGCACCTCGCACCTGGACGCAATACAAGGATCTGATACTGGGCGTGATGGACATTGCTCCCATAACCGTAAGTTCATATTGTCTTCGTCTTGAGTACGGACGGGAAGCAGAATTCATCCCATTCTGTGTCTCAAATCTAGTCTCCCGCTACTCAGATCCAAAGGCTCTTGTCTGCCCGAAAGCTTGAGATTCAAAGGAGAAATGAGTTTCTGCTATACGGTAGATGCCCCGTTATAAAAGCATCTCAAGATGCGATTGAAATCTTGGATTCAATGTCCGTCTCGTCGAGCCTGAACGATATATACAAGTCCTGGTTTGATGCTACTGGCTCGGACGATCCAATACATCAGTTGTTTCAATGGGCAATTACATTCAGTCGATCCGGTAATCATCGGCCATATGTTGTTGGGGCCATCCTCACGAGATACGCACAGGATGGACGATTAGGGAGAAGGCGAGATTTACAGACTCAATTGCAAGTGTTTTTGGATACATTTGAGAGTAGCCATGTTGAAGGTAATTTTGCGTTACTCGAATCCTTTTTTTTTAAGTGTTCTCTGACGCGCTTTTTGTGATTCAGAGAGAAGGCAGTTGTCAGAATTATATGGTGAAATTATCAGAAAAGACCTCTTCTCGTTAGACACATACATCCAGAGATTGATTTCAAGAGGTGATTTGGAGGCGTCCAACATTCACAAACGATTCTCGCACATTAAGGATTTGCCTATATATAAAGCCAAACCTACGCAGCTCAATCATCGTCGAGTATCACTCTTTGGTGTCACATATAAGCTACACAAGGATGACGAAGAATCCAGGTATATGAAGACATTAGAAAGAATATCCAGCTTCTTCCCTATGATGTTTCGATCACAGAGTAACAGTGGTGTGGTTTCCCAATCTATGCCGGCAAAGGACAGTGAAGCAGATTATGCATTGAGCAGACTCGGTCATACCGATGTTTTGCTTTTGCAAAATTTGCCCAAATTCATACGAGTACGAGTCGCCGAATGGCTGGTGAATCATGTATTTGATTTTGTTGTCACGGATAAATTGTAAGTATTGTTAGGGTCATTCTGTTTAACTACAACGCGAATGAGATTGTACTTGACTCAGATATTCTCCATCAGAATTGGAATGGACAATTTCAAAACCATGCTGAATCCGGGGAACTCGAAGTTAAATGGTCGGCAATTCGCTGTGATTATTGAAATATTGGAAGCTGCGAAGGAATACCGACTGGTTCTTGGGGTAAGATCTCGTCATTTGCCTCCCAAAAAAAGATCATCAGAAACTCATATCAAATCCTCAGCTATGTATATGGATGTTACACAAGACCACAGATCGCAACATCTATCCGTATATTGTAGATACCTTTCGCCGTCATCAAATGGTCTTCCATGCTATGGAAGAACTTGGAAATATCTTTACAGCTGTATATAATAAGGTATGTTCAAGCAAAGTCGCAGCACAAAAAAGGACGGTCTCTGATGGGGGTTTGATTCTCTTTCCATAGCACTCGGAACTCCGTAAATCTCAGAAACACGACCGTAATTTAATTCTCAGCTATTTAATTGAATTGATGAAAATCCCAGAATCAGGAGCAAACGCTGCCCAAAAGCAAGAGTTGACTCTTCAGCATGATGAACCACCACCAGTGAGTTAGACCATGTTCTAAACTTTTGTTGTTTCGAGTAGATTCAAGTTTGATCACTTATTTCTCCTTTTCGTGTAGGTATCCGGAAAGAAGGAAACTCCAGCAGTATTTGACGACATTCGCAAGCTCCAGGACGATTACTTGACGATCGCTACTGCTATATCCAATTTGACTTGGAGCTACCAGTCCAGTAAAGAAGCGGTCAAGCGGGTGTTTCTCTACGTTATTGAGAATCTCAGAAGGCTAGTTTCGTCATCGAAAAGGTATGTGCTTGTGGTTGGATTCAAAGCGACGTATTTTGGCATTACTTGATGACGTTTTTCTTTTTGCAGTATCTATGAATTTCGACGAATCATGGAAATCAATGTAGAGGTTTTACGAGTACTCAATGATCGATGTCTGTTTCTCGATGATGTGATTATCGAGTGTTTGCAGGAAATCGTATTGACATTGTCAAACGGTGGTGTACAACAGCCTCGTCAGTTGTCTGAACTTCTGACAAACCATACAGATGAGAAATCATCATGGATGTTGTCATTCTTGGCTCTATTAATGATTTCTAGGATCGTGACTGCTGCAAGAGTGTTGCGTGATTTCGTGGATGTTGTTGTGAAGCGTGCTACTGATGAAGGATTGGTATGGTTGGTGTCAGGTACTACTTTTTTCGTCAATCCATTCTCACTCCTGCTCATGTTTAGAATCCATTGTTTACCCCATTGTATATAAATGTCATCAGATTGGCACACATCGTCCTTGGTGTTTCCGATACCGAGGACCTTGCTCCTGGTTTATTCCTCACCACACAGGAATTACAATCCATGTCTACTATAAGGCAATCTGACTTGATGTCAGGGGAGCCGCCAGTAGCTCCATTCCGTACATATTTACTTATATCGAGACTATCTACATCGCCCTCGATCCTGGCAGACGATGCCAAAACCAAACTGGTGGTCGCTTGTCTTGATGAGTTTAAAAACTCGATATATAACAAGTCGTCCTGGTTGAAGCGAGTATGTTTAGATAAACCAGTATGGGCGTATAAGGTTATGGTGGCTGTATCTACTGAAGTAGATAGCAGTCTGCTCTCCAAAGGTCCAGAGGCATCAATCCGTCACTTTGCGAATTGTGCCATCTTCCAGCATCTCGTCTCTGAAGATTCAGACACTGATTTTGTATCTAGTAATGCAGCTGCGCCATCACAGCAACCGCACCATCATCATCAACCACATCAACGCTTGACCATAGAATCGTGTAGAGACTCATTTGCTCATGTATTGCGTAAAATGAATGATTGGACATTCGACAGACCGTGGATTGAATTACAATTCATCCTTGATCGAATAGTAGCATTTGGTGAGTCACAGGCTGGGACCTCGTCTCTCATGTATTTCGACTGTTTTGTCGATCTGCTGTTTGAACGACTACTGGAGCCATCGACACACATCCGATTCTTTTCTCGTCTCGTTGAAGGACTGAGATGGGAAGTCTTGTCTCGATTCCTGCAACAAATCAGTTGGCTGCTTGAAGGAATCTTGCCTTTGCCACCTGGATATCGACATGATCCAGCTTCTCCACGAGCTGTAATGGTGTCTAAATGGAGTACGGCTTTGGCTGGTGATGAACGATGTCTCAAAGTGTTTATGGATGTTGCTGTGCTTGCTATTCAGACTGCTGACAGGTGTCGCGTGAATGGAGATGGGAGATATGGGCCTGAGTTGATTGCTATGGCTAAAGCACTGCTTACTCAACTTCAATGGTTTGAGTCAAAGATACCGGTGAGGTCTTTGTATATGAAGCAACAAAACACGAAGGTGATAGCTGAATGAGGTCTAACTGTCTTTGTTCTGATCTCTAGGTATTTGATCTGATGGAAATATGTTCCTTGTCGTTTCAAGAGGCCAGTCGCTTTTGGCAACAGTGCAACTATTCGTTGGTATGGATTTGGAGTTTGTTATAGTTTTAGGAATTTGGTGGGATTATTCTTAGCTAACTGCTTGTATTAAATAGCAATCAGCCTTGGAGAATGTTCGACAAGGAAGGCTTGCTATAGAGAAGGGGTCGGAACAGCATGCGTTCATCGGTGAAATACGTGCCATGTGAGCAAATGTGACCTCCCTACGTTTCGAGCATTTTCTCCCGTGGCAAACGACTCAACATCAAATGTTTTATACGTAGGTTATATTTACGACTCCGCCTGATCTTGCCTCTGATACCTGTCCTGCTGGAGAATGCACAGGATAGTAATCTCGTATCATTGGTGCAAACTCTGGTTTGTCTCATGACGGCACGAATATCGCATGGAATGGGCACCGAGGAGAAGCTCTTTGAGCTGATTCTGGATATAGTCTCTTGGATTAGTGACGAAGTTCCTAAAGAGCTGAAGAATAGCTTATTGGCAGTCTTGAGAGTGAGTTCAGGTCTGATTGAATCATTTTGGAACCGTTCGTGTTTGACCTTTTTTCCACTCCACCCTGTTTCATCCAGGATCTACAACCTCAATTATGCATACCTGAGAAATACCTGGAACGAATACAACGAATGTTGCCCTTCCAAATCCAAAATCCACACGTCAAACGACTGTTGACTGTAGTATACCCACCATCATCAAACACATTAATGTCATCCTCCTCGTCATCGTTATCGTCATTGGCACTGCTCCCAGCTACAGCTAGTCTAGTAGTATCATCATCGCATTTTAAACCTTGGGAGTGGGTTGAATCGTCTGCAATCGTAGCAGGACCGCAGGAACTCGATTTCAATCTATCTAGTAGTGCCACAGCAGCGGCAGCATCGGCAGCGACTCATCCTGAGGTCGTCAACGATGGGCCTATATCATTATCACTCTTCTCAGCAAGTGTTCGAGTACCCTTCTCCGAGGACGATGAAGAAACGGGAGGAATGTCGCTCATGTATAACAGATTGTTTGAAGATGGATGGCAGCCTGGTGATATCACTGCTGTGAGGAATCTTTTGGTTACTGAAGGGAATAGCGGTGAGATGAATGAGGATGTGGTTATGGCTGATGGTGTCGGGAATGGTGATGCTGGGAAGAGAGAAGGGAAACGTAAGGCTGTGGCTGAATCGCCCAATGGTAACGCGGCATCGTCGATGTCGTATAAGAAGGCGAAGTCATGACAGTGACATTGTCATATTCCTCATAATCTATATAGAGCAGCAAAACGGACAGGGATGTTTTACATTGTGAATACATAATACATAAGTATATACTCATTAATAATCGTGTCTTTGCGGACTCCAACAACTAATTTAATGTGCCATGATTCAACACACACCTTTTCCAATCGCCACTCTCATCAAACCCTCTCAAATCTAAATATAGTTGGAACCCTAGACAATAAAGTGTTTGGTTGCAAGACCCAAATGCAACTAGACGGCATACCACGCGGATTCACCGTGTTTGGTGCCGGTCTAATAACAGATGTCCTGGCGGTGATATTATCACCGCCTTTATCACCGCGAACGCATCAACACTAGTGAAACTTAGTTTTGTGGGTGGTGTTAAGATAACCGCCCCCGAATTAAGTATATGTTGGCACTTGAAACACTTGGCCATCGATTTTATAAGCATACCCGTTCAACAATAATGTATCCCTGCTGCTCACACAAATGCATAAAACACAGAATACAAGTCCTCAAATGTACAAGCACCGTAACGGCATGCACTTCAAAAGTATTCCGTGCCTCTAGCGGGTGGCATATGGCAACAATACCAAAAAAAACCTGTCCCGGTGCACATACAGGATACTTTCGAAAGACAGCCAGCCCTCTTCAACGGCTTACACCGAGACGACGAATTCACATTTTTCAAGATCCTCTCATAAGCTTCAGCTACATCACCACTCAAGTGTGTAGCAGATTATTTGACACCAAGCGTAACATTGTTGTGATCACGATCGTATAGCACGTACACTAACTAAATGATGGTACCTCCTACATAGCGAGCAGCGAGATGAGGATTGCGATTATTGCAATGCTTTCACTAGCATTTCCACTCTTGTTTTGTCGCTCACCTCCAGTTTAGGGAAATCTGACAAGATGCGATGAAGCATCATATGAAAGCAGTCCTGGGTAACCAAACAAGTAAACATACCGTATCTAATCACTCAACGACATTTCCACTACCTGACACCTGAGCAAACTTGCCCTTTCTGAAACATGTCGTCCATGATCTGCAACAGTCAGTGTCCTTCTCTGCTGGAGTATAGACAACAACTTCAGTGCGAGAGCGATACCAGAACCGTCAGCTCAACACAGTATCCCGCAGATGGTAACCCATATCTCGTTCAGGAAGTGTTTGACGTGAAGTTGAAACCATTTGATGTCGACGATGATGGCGATGCCACCAGCTCTATAGGCGAAAATGATGATCGGCCATCGTTCCTCAATGAATTAGCAGATGCTAGAGCACCAGAAGATGTTCGAGACTCCATAATACAATAAGCTCTAGTTTCGAAATACCAAATGAGCTGGTTACCTTACCAACCACGAGACAGAAGGCAAATGATACTTAATATGACAATGATTTTACATACAAGAAGCGTGATTTCACTAAAATCCTTCGTGTAATTCCACCCTGTTTCCCAAAGTCTTCAGAAATCATAAACCCAGACACAACGATCAGATCTCAATAGATCCTAGACAAAGAAACCACGTTCTTGACAGTTCCAAGGCGTGGAATCACTGCCAAATTCGTAAGAAATATTTTCCTAGCAACACTTAATCATTCGAAGGACTCTCTCTTCTCCCAAACACATATCCTTTCACAAAATCAAACTCCCAAATTGATTTACCGACATGCACTATAAATGTCGAGTCTGCAATTTGCAAGAATCTACACTCAACAGGACTGACCACCTTACTTAGCGCACGCAACAGAGTGAACAGATGCTCAAAGAGATGTTTGCAGAGGCTACTAAGTGCCTCGACAGAGACTCCAAGAGACTCGACAGAGCTTACAGATTTTTCGGGATATCAATTTCGGAGCGAACTTGGAAAGAGCCCGGTTGGTTGCAGAGAGAAAACAAAGGTGATTGCGAACTGGATCGACACGTATCTCAAACACTTCCTGTCCTGTCATCAAAAACACGTTACTATGGAAAACTCAATCTATCTTATTTTGCAAAAAACACGATACAAAAAAGCAGCCACTATTATACCCAACAACACCACTCTTCTACTACTTCCACTAGTACTATCACTCCAACTAACGACGCTCCGTCTTTCCACCACCACGTTTGCCCGCAAACAAATGCTTGGGCTTCTTGGCAGCAATATGACGATCGGCTTCTCCCTTTCGTGCTTGGAAATTGAGTGGTCGTTGTGCTCGTTTCTTGCTTTCGTCTGCTTCCAGTTTTTGCTATAAAAATGAACGCGTTAGCGTCTTTCCAAAAGCGAGAAAATCCCACTTTCCATTCAAAGCATGTCCTGTCAACGGAAACATACCTTGACGTCACGTAATCCCATAACACTACGATCACGAGACGCACTATGCGCTCGTGGACCTCTGGACGATGATCGGTCGACATCCATAGAGTCTTCATCACGACGGGTTTCAGAACGTCCACGTTTACGAATGACGGATTTGCTTCGTTCGCGGAGGACTTCCTTGTCGACTTTCACGCCGAGTTTGGTCATGTGCTTGTGTAGCCCGTCGACTGTTCGTCTCTGTAAGATGTGGAAAAGAGGTTTGTTTGAGAAAATGTGATTTACGAATATCGACCAAAAAAACTCGGAAGATTGGGAGACATTGACGAATCTTAATATCATCAACACACGGAACAACTACAACACAACAACGCAGTCATGACTGAGTGACTTACAGCAGTCTTGGCAGGCAAGATAGCACGATTCATATTCTTCTTGAGTCGATGCGCAATAACCATTTCGTCCTTCTTGCGAGACACTTCTTCAGCAGCCATCTTGAGTGCTTCTTCATCAGAGTCCTCCTATTTCCCGGAAAAGGCAAAGAGAAGAGATTGTCAATGATTACATAAAAGGAATCAGCGGCGACAATAAACATAGACACGCAACAGCAAAAAGAATTGAATGAATTGAAAGAATGAAGCAAGACAACACAGCCAACACCCACACAGCAATAGTATACATACCATCTCATCATCACTCTCATAAAACCCTTGCGCAATCAACTTCTCCTCCTCTTCCTCCAGCGCCATCAGCTTAGCTTCAATCTCCGGATCAACGAAATCAGCCACATTCTTGCCATCCAGGATCTCAGGCATCTTGTCGTGCTTCCATTCGTCTGATTTCAGCAAGTAGTTCTCTAAGCGAACACAAAACAGAAATAGTCAGTACAGTGAACAGATCTCAACCAACAACCATCCCCAACACAATCAATGTATACGTACTCTTCAAATCAATACTATAAACACCAGGCCCACCCATCTCCAACTCGATATCCCGTTCCAGTTTACGTCTGTTGGGATCGAGCTTGTCGTATTTGGGTTTGCCAATTGCGTTGGCTGGTACGAATGCAGACCGGTCTTTGCTGTCTCGCTGCATTGGCTCAGCGAGATGCAGCTTGTTGAGGACGTCATTGACTTTGTGGCCCTTCATCTTCATTTCGACACGAGAGGCGAGGAGCACGTCGCATGCCTAGCAAATTAAACTATCAGACACGTTGCTTTTTTGGCGCGGTGCTGGTTGGTGCATTCGCACCAAACACACAAAAAAAGGCTGGCAAAACACGGTGAATGTTACCTGATTTCGAACATCCATAACACCCATCTCAGTCAAACACGACAGCTGACATAACGTGACTTTATCACGTTCAATAATTGATTTGAGCAGTGCCTGATCTTCAGGAGCGAGCTGTTCAGGAGTCATGACATCAATCTTGTTGATGACAATCATGGTTGGTTTATTCACAAAGAGCGGTTTGATTGATTCGTATAGCTTGATCTATTAAAACGGTACCAGTTGTTCAATACTCAACCAACGAAAAAAAACGACTAGTACACTGTCTTATAACGTACCTGCTCAGCAACACTATACCCACACTGTTCACTCAAATCCATAAAATACAAAATACAAGCCCTCAAATGTGCAAGTGCAGTAATACTCTGCATCTCGATCGTGTTGCGTGCTTCTAACGGATGGTCCAGGATACCAGGCGTATCAATAACCTGCCATCGCAGGTACTGGTAGTCCATGTGTCCAACGAATAGCGATTTGGTTGTGAATGCGTAGGGCTGTACTTCGACGTCTGCACGAGTGAGACGGTTCATGAAGGATGATTTGCCGACGTTTGGGTATCCGCATATTATGAGGGTGCGTGTGTTTGGGTCTATGGACGGGAGACGCGACAAGTGCTGGCGCACTTGTTCGAGGTATGCGAGAGAGTCTTTTTGGCGTTTCATTATTGTGCACATTCTGTATGTGAGAGTTGGGGTGTTGTTAGTTTCGAGAGTCGGTGTGTTTTTGTTGCCAATACATGACAAAAAACCAGCCCCATGCCATGTCGCATGCATACCTTCCAAGAGCAGCCCTCTTCAACTGCTTACAACGATACAGCGAGTCCCCATACTTTAAGATCCTCGCATAATCCTTAGCCACATTATCAATCAAATGTCTTGCAGTGTTTATTTGACCCAATGCAAGCTTGTAGTGATCACGATCATACAGCACGTTCATCAAGTCTGCATAGAATGGATGTACCTCCTAGATACGATAAAAATATGCTTGCGTTAGAATCCATCGCAGTTCCATGTTATGTCAGCGTGATCGTGTCTTTTTTTCTCTTACATCAAGTTTTGGGAAATCGCCCAAGATGCCATTAAGCTTTTCATCAAAGCAGTCCTGAAGAAGACTCGAATCAGTAAAGATACTGTACATAACATGCAAATACATGTGTCTGTTCACTTACTTGAGCAAACTTGACCTTCCTCAAGTAGAATGTCCGTATTCTAGTAATCTTGTAGTTTGGATGAACGACTGTCGGTGTCTTTCTCTGGATTTTGGAGAGCACGACATCTATGAATTCAGTCGATGTCGGCACCACCGTGATCTTTTTGAAATTGTAGAAATTGGCCATCAGTAGCTCCTTCTACAGTTGCCTTTTTTTAGGTGTTTTGGAGCAAGAAAAAAAAAACTCACCTCACGAGTTATTGATCAAGACCATATTAGAAAGACAGAGGAATAGGGAAACAAAAAGAAGGTAACGTATACGCTTCAATGTCATTTTTATTCATTCATATCACGCGTCAAACTAACATCTCTCCCTACACTAAAAACCCAGACTGCTCCAATGACACTCCCAAGACAAATCACAGCTCAACCACTCACAAAGGAGGCATTCGCTCTGTACGGCGATGTGATTGAAGTTCCTAAAGAAGCTAATGGTGATGCTGCTAATCAAGGGTACGCATGTGTGTGATTTGCTCAACATTTGAAGCATTTGCGAGCATTTGGACGCTTCATGACAGAACAACCTGTAACGACAGTCGACACAAATGCAAACCTTACATGACATTTCACACTCCAACCAGCACCATATACTTTGTACTGACACCATATACTCTATCTACAGAACAGCAAAACGCTACAACCACCTAACACACTTCACAAACCTCCGGTCCCCACTCCCACTCACTCCCCCTTCCGCCCCCTCAACCACTCCAATCCCGTCTTCCCTCCTCTCACCACCAGCCCTACCCAACCTCTGTATCTTCAAATCAGTCCCAACACCAGTCCTCCCCTTCCCCATTAAGCTCCTCGAGAGACACAAATACAGTACACAGATGTTCCTTCCCATGAATGGAGACGTCAAGGCGTATCTCGTTATCGTTGCCTTAAACAAGGACGATGGTAGTGGGAAGGAAGGGCCGGAATGGAGTACGCTAAAGGCGTTTATATGTGATGCGAGACAGGGGTTTAATTATCATGTCGGTGTCTGGCACCATCCGATGATTGCGTTGGAGGTGGAGACAGACTTTGTCTGTTTGGTGTGTGCTCTCTGCTTAGTTTGGTGTTGTGAAAGCAAAAAAACCCTTCATCACTTCCTTTTGGATGCAGCTATGCCTAACACGCTTTTTTTACAATCCACATAGGTATGGGAAAGACGCGAAAACATGACTGATCCAACAGAAGACTGTGAAGAAGTGCATCTGAAGGAAGACGAGTATATATCTGTTGTTGTGGATGGGTATCGTGGGAGTCGTGATCTTGCTTCAGCTGCAAGTAGTAACAGTAGTAATGGGAGAAGTAATGGGAAGCATAGTCATAAGGAAGCATCTGAAGACAAAGAAGAGGAGGAAACAAGAACATCAAAACGACGCTCAACTAGAAAGTAAAGACACACACAAAAGCAGTCTTCCAATATATGCTTTTCTTTACGTATTGTGTATACATATATCACGAGGGGGAGATCGTCCTGGGAGACCTTCTATAGTCCTACGACTGTAAGCAATATATTCCTGCAGCCTCAACTTAGCTATTGGTTGATCGCTTTGACTTGACACCAGTTGTTTGCCATCCAGCAACACCGTTACAAGCTCAAAGTTAACGGTGTCGCCCTCTCATCAGTCTGTTTGAGACTCCTTTTGATTGCCTCCTATGATACATCGTGTATTGAATTCAGAATCTTGCATTGGTGAACATGCCCAATGTTGAGAAAGAACCACTCACAATGGATGCGTGATTCTGAGATTATTTACGTGTGAAGTATGTGGATGTTATTGGAGATAGTTTCACTCAAAAGCTTTTGAGCCTTATCAAGGACGTCCAGAAAAACACATCCTCCAAACATTGTGTGGACGCATCCCCACAAACGACGAAACAGCAGGCTTGAAACACGACTGTATCTAGCCTGACAACATCCATTCGGGTCATATTACCGTGCTATTGTGTCTGGGTGAGCCATTGTCGAATTCACAAATCGTGGCTGAACGAGTTTTCAAGATCATGATGGTGCACAAGTGTTGCAGGTGCTAGTGCTGGGATTGCGGTAGCAGTTAGCATTGATTATGAACCTGTCTGTAACTTCATATCATTCTAGTTGATACTGTGATGCATCGTGAAAACGGTTGACACTGGAATTGCGTGGTATAGACTATGATTATATTCAAGGTTATAAGGACTATAGTACATGTTGGATGATGGATGTATAGGATGCCTCTTCTCTGCTGTCAAATATCGATCAAGGTCGAGAAAGTACGAAGATATTTCGATGTCCCCTGGACGTACACGAAGCGAGCCTCTCGTTTCACAGATATGCCAGCAGCACTCTCGAAACTTGGAACTTCAGCTATACAGGGACGCAGACGATAAAAGATGAGACAAAGAGGTTCAACAGCAGTAGGACTACAAACGACGTAGCATCAAAGTCCACCTTCCTACCATTCTACGTGATTTCTTGGGTGAACTTGCAGACATTCATCAAGTTGTGAACTTAAAGTGTGAACTGTGGGGTAAATTAGCAACCAGCTGATGCTCGAGAAGAAGAAACAAGGCCATCAAAACGACGGAAGCCAAGAATCACAAAACCTAGTCTTGCAACATCATATATGCCTTTCTTTGTTTGTATACACACCACAAGGGGGGAGATCTTTTATAGTTCCACGACTGTACAAGTTTTTTCATATGTTCCCTTCTTTATAACGTTGTTATGTAATCTTGTTTCCTGATACCACATCTCATCAACACCACAAATTCCATACAACCCCAACCCAAATAACATCACCAAATTTCAAAACCTCCAAATCCTATACATGTTCTTTTGTGCATCCATATAGAGAGTATGTCATGTACTGTTATACATCCGTCACGACGGCATCCCACTACCACCAGCATTGCCATCATCCCTCTTCTCATTCCTCCTCTCCTCTCTAACAAGCCCCCTCAATCTGGCATTCTCCTTCTTGAGCCTCGCAATCTCAGCAACAAGCATCTCTCTCTCCCTCTCCAAATTATGCGTATACATTAGCTTGCGTTCCCGACTACGTTGTGCAGCTTCTCGATTCCTCGCACGGCGTAGTTCTTGGCGTACGACTTTGGGCAAGAGTTCGCCATCTGGTCCTATATTGTGCTGGTGAGATGCTGAGCGGGCGGTACCTGAGGTGGCGTCGTCGGGTGTGGATGATTTAATTGATCGTTTTCGTTTTGAGGTGCCGAATTCGTCGGATGAAGAGTTCGAGTTGTAGTCGTCTGTGTCGTATGAGACTTCGTCGTCGTCGCCATCGTCGTCTGGGTGTGGTGAGAAGCGTTGAGTGAATGACTCGGATGATGAGGTTGTTTTGATTTCGGGCGTCTTCGTGCTGCTAACACCGTTATTGTTACTAATAGGACCACCGTTACTAGTAGCATCACCGTTAGCACGAATCCCATTCTTATGGTCATGCTTCTTAACAGCATTTCCAGTCCCAACTTGTTCATCATCAGACGAATCATCTATACCATCAGGATCAGATAACACTGACGAGTCAGAACACGAGTTATTACCACCATCACTACTACGTATTTGTTTTGCTGATCTAGTTATTCGTGGCGGTGGTGGTGGTGAAGCCATCTCTTGCATTTCCTCATCTTCGTCATCATCCTTTATACCCTTAATCTTCTTCGTTTTAATGTTGTTACTGACGTTATAGTCGTCTTCATCTTCTTCCCTCTTCTGCTTCCTTTTAGACGTTATAGGGGCATTTGAATTCGTTATAGCCGTGTTTGATTTGGAAGACTTGGATGCTGGTACTGATGATATGGGCTGTTTGGGTGACGAGGTAGTAGGTTGTGTTTTCGGTTTTACTTTGGGTTCTGGTGATGTTATTTGCCTTCTACTACGATTCATATTTGCATACGATGACGATGGTGGGCGTTTGGCTTTTACAGAAGATAGTGATGGTACAGATGAGGTTGGTTTCGATGATGATGAGGTGGGTTTGACTATTGCTGCTGGTGCTTTTGTTGATGAGGAAGCTGGTTTGGCAGGTACAAGTGGTGCTGATGACGTCGACTTCACTTTTGAACTGCCATTAGCACTATTCTCAGCTACCCCATTACTACTGCTAGCAGTACTCCTGGTACTCCTAACAGGTCTCATAACCCTTCCACTATTATCACTAGCAATAGTTGTATCATTCTCTGCTGCAACTGGAGCTACTGCAGCTTTACTTGCTTTGCCTCCTCTTGCACCTCCCTTTCCTTTATTAGCTGCGTCACGTATTTGACCGTTCCCACCGCTATTATTACTCATCATTAGCATCACGCTATGGTGTTGAGCAGCTTCTTGCTGCATGGTTCGATTGAGGGGGTTGACCAGAGACATTGCGAGTGCAGCTTCGGCATCTGTCAAATTGTGCTCCACCGTCAGTTGTTTGCGCCATTGTTCGAATTCTGGAGGCGGTGAGTTCACTAGGGTGATTGAGGTGGAGAAGGTAAATTGCGAATCAGTTTAGAGGATTATGAGCACGCCAAAAAAAGAATGAGCTGGTCCCCATGATGTGTCAAACACTTGACACAAATTTTACATCTGTTTCCAACCTCAATTTGATTCAGGTGCTTACATGGAGGATCAGGAGCAGCCATCTGAGTATCCTGTTCGCTGCTAGTCAAGGTTGAAAAGAGAGCGTTAATGGGTTTGACACGTACAAGGCGGTTCCTTACACACAACCGAAAAAAACACCAACATAAAGAGGCATTCCCAACAACCATAAAAACAAGCTTATATTACCTGCTATCATCCAAAATATTCGGCGGTATAGGTACACTATGTCCTAATCCCTGTTTTCCGAATGACGTGGCAGTGTTCTAACCAAAATTGACATGTGAGTCTCAATACCATTTGGCAAACGCCTGCCTCCAACGGTCTCAACACGTACCGGCAGACTAGACAACCACGAATCCTCACTCCTTGGCAGCGACATTGGACTTGGAAACGGCGAATGGTGATTGCCTTGGTTGTCAGTGCTGGCAGTAGTTGTATGAGCGAGCCCGATAGCAGCAGCAGCACCGAGATGATGTAGGGTGGTTGTATTTGAAGGGATTAGAGTGAATGGACGTAGGCAGACGGGCCCAGGAGTTGTCCTGTCTGGAGTCTTGTCGTGTTCAGTGTCGAGAGATTGCTCATGATGGTGTTGATGAGGGTTTGACTGCCATGTTGTTGGAGCATGGAGCATTGGTTCTAGTGAGCTCATAGCTAGATAGATATGGAGAGAATATGTTGGTCAAGAGACACGTCACTGCAAAAAGTCAAAAATATACATTTGCAAAAGTAGATAATTCAAGCATGCGAGCAACTAGTAACAGAAACATACCTGATAGAGTGCTATTCTAGTATGCTCTATGTTATGAATATGCAATAAATGTACATTAGCTTTATACGGTCTCCATCCTCAACGAGCTTCTACAGAGAGTGACGTGTGGGTTGGAATCGAGCGACCAGATCATGCAATAACCTGATACTTTCAAGGCTACAAGGTATTATATTGATATTATGACGTGATAATCTATGGGAGGACGCGTCTATTCCTATTATTCCACTGTTCTTTTCCAACACCATTGCCTCCTCTCCCAACTCTCTTTTAACACAGTCACATTGCATTCGCCAGATCATCGTCGCTTATCAGCTACCAATGGAGGCCGAACCAGAAGTAACCTGGATTGGATTGTCGCTGGGATCTGCTTATTCCACTATATCCGTGCTCAACAAGGTATGAGGTTCAAAACACTTCAGCATCCTCCACCTAGCAAAAAAAAATATAAAGCACATTCCAATTCCTTTGTTGTTTGTTAGGATGGCAGAGTCGAAGTCATTGCTAATGCTGATGGAGAACGCCAGATCGCATCATGTGTGACTTTTACTGACTTTGAACAGGTTGGTGTTGTTCATCTCTACCATCTGAAAGCTTTTTTTCGCTGCTGCAAACAATCACTTACTCACATACAACCCACACAGTTGGCTGGTACGCAAGCTAAACAACGTGGATCTGTCAATCCAAAGAATATGGCTGTACGCTTCTTGGACTTGCTGGGTAGAAAGTACGTTTTGATCAAGCGAAAAAGCCCGTCAGAGATTTGAATGCATTCTTACGATCTTAACACTCAATTTTCACAATAGAATGGACGACGATCACGTATCCTACATCACAAAATCCATTCAAGTCCCCATATCTCCCAAAACCGAAAACGCAAACACTCCCGTATTCGAAATCACCACCGAACCAAAATGGGACGAACCTCCCGTCACTGTACAATACACCGCCATAGACATCACTACCAGATACGTGACCCATCTGATCTCAACCGCACAGGAATTCCTAGGTAAAAAAATCGACGGATGTGTCATCTCATGTCCCGTCAATATGACTCCGGAAGGTCGACTATCGCTAAAACTAGCTGCTGAAAAGGCTAACGCCGGTAAAGTCATGCTGGTAAAGGAACCCGCTGCTGCTGCTCTAGCATTCTACCACTACCCAACGCTGCTCGCTACTGGTGCACTACCGCCTCCACCATCAGCAAACAAACCGGATCAGAATATAGTAGTGGTTGATTTCGGTGCACATCATCTGTCTACTACCGTAATGAGCTCCAGTAAAGATCTATTTAGCATCATAGCATCAAACACCACGAATGTAGGAGGCAGCCATATAGATAAACTCCTAGCAAGCCATTTCGCAATCGAGTTCCAACGCAAGACTCGTATGGATGTCACCGAATCACGTAAATCAATGATCAAGCTGCAATCATCTGTAGAATCCGCTAAACGGCTCTTATCTAAAATCGAAACGGCTTCCTGTCACGTCGATTCTCTACACGAGGGTGTAGACTTTACTGGATCAATCCACCGTGGACGTCTCGAGATGATGATTGAAGAACCACTTACAATGTGTCTCGCGTCTATAAAGCAGACACTAGACGATGCTAAAATGACTGCTGAGCAGGTAGACCAGGTGCTTCTTGTAGGTGGCTCATCGCGAATCCCGCGCTTCCAAGCAATGATTAAATCGCTCTTCAAATCATCTGATATACGAACCGATATCGAATCTGACGAGGCCATATCCCTTGGTTGTGCCATACAGGCTCTCATCGTCGCCAACTCAAACGCCATCAATTATATAGATCTCGCTAACGATGCTACCTTATACGCCAACGTGCCCCATGTAACCAAATCAATCGGCATTGAAGTCGCAGGTAGTGTCTTTGCCACGATCATCCCTAAACGAGCCCCAATCCCTGTACGCAAGTCTCTTGAATTCGGATTAAACCAGGACAGCAATACCAATAGCAAGGCCAAAGAACAACCACAACGAGATATATACCTCGCTGTGTACGAGGGCGAAGAAAAAATCGCCAAACAGAATACACTTATTGCTGAAATCGTCGTGTCGGATTTAGGTGGTGGGGGTGATGATGTGCCTGACACAGGTGCACCTGCTACGAATGGAAAGGATGGGAAAAAGGAGGAGCCGTTACGTGTTGAGGTTATTTTTACGATTGAAAAGGATTTGGTGTTGCGGGTTTCGGTGCTTGAGCTGAATGGGCCGAGGAAGGGGCATGTTACAAAGCATAGGATGGCTGTTAAGTAATAGAGGTGTTGTAGTATGGTGGTATGGTTTGCAAAAGAGAGGACGAGTTGAGAATTTTTTTAGAGGCATCAATATTTTGAAGTGTAAATAAACAAGAAAGATTTGTGGACACAAGAAATTAGACACCATCTTGTCCTCGCATTTACTTCAAAATCAAAGTCGCTTGTTTCGAATGTGTTTGATTTTTCTTGTTGGACTCGTCATCAGTGTGTCCACGACCCATGCAAGTGACTTATTAGGATTCGGCCCGAGTTCATCAGCAGCGGCGAAAACTACAGAGCTAAATTTTATATGGTCGGAGATTCGAGGACAAATTAAATGAGCTAGACGGTTCCAATAGCGCCAAAACCCCTGAAGACGGGAACAACCTACTAGCATGTGGTCTAATTTTTCACGAGCTGCACGATTGCACCAAAGACACATGGTTTCTTTTTTTTTGGCTCATGTATTCTATTGGGATTATAGTCCCGCAAATTTACGATTATTACAACACTTAAAACCGCTACTAAAGTTGCTAATTACTCCCCATATGTTACTGGAATTACGTTTGCGTCAGCCCCTCAACTTAGTTGTGACCAACCACCTCCCCGTCCAGTGAAAC